GGGAAAGAGGGGGGGGAGAGAGCCCTTCGGAGGGCTCCTGGCTGTTGGAACAAGTGGTGCCTTTGTCAACGCATGTGTGCCGGGGTGGGGCTGCCAGCCTGGGTGAGCTGCAGCCCTAAGCCAATGTCTCAGCTGGCAGTTCAGAGCAGGCGTGCGATACAAATCTACAGGTGAGCCATGGGGGGGCACCTACGGGAAGACCCTGGCTCCCCCCCCAGCTGCTCTTGGGAAGGGGTGCATTCCCACCAGCAGCACTCAGGGGAGAAGAGACACAGAGAGGCGCGAGTTGGGCTCCCTGGTCACAAACAGCCCCAGCGACTGCAGCAGAAGGGGCACATGGGGAGGACAGGCGCGTACTGGCTGTTCATGGAGGCTGGCGGCTGCAGGGAATGGGGCAGAACAAACCTCGTGATTTCCTGAGGAAGCGGTGGCCTGATCTTTAGTTCAGCCCTGCCTCAGAAGGAGGGATACTGCACAGTGGAAAAACAAGTTTCAGGGATGTTGTAATGATCTTCAAAGCAGAAAACCTCAGAAGTTCAAGCTTCAGACGGCTCTTGCAAGACTAGCAAACAGTTACGCTCAATAATTTACAGAAGGAATATGCAAAGGATGGATTATTTATAGCTAATTGACATTTTTTCCAGTCAGTCAAAGGTACAAAGTGACAAGCACACAGCTCTGAGGAAGGAGGAGTTCCTTTGCGTTGCAAAGATGCAATGACACTAATTAATGCCTGAATACAAAGCAATGGGTCTGTAGCTCAGCTGGCAGAAGAACCTCTGGTTTTATCAGTATCCATCATTTAAGGATTTTACTGTCTGAAGGCTCCACAGTTCTTGGGCCATCAGCACGCGGGACTAAAGAGAGAAATCAGAGTGTGCTGGTTGTTCTGAGGGACAGCAAGTCCCTGGAGGCTGCTTTCACATCTACCGGTTTTGATCAAACCACTCTATCAGAGGTGGTCCTGAATCGCGCAATACCTTTTTGGTCTTACCTTGCTTACACTTTTATTTTCCAAATGTCTTGTGTTTCTTGATGAAGTAATTGGTTTGGGGCCAGGCTTGTGTGACCTGCTGCGGAGGCGTGACTCGTGCATGTGGCTGGCCTTCATGATAAAGAGCCTCGACTTAAAGCCAAGTGCCACAGAAAGAAGACTGAAATAGTAAACCTGATGGATGTTGACCACAAGTGGGTTCCTAAAACGCAGGCAGCAGAGCTGCTGTTTTGAGAAAACCTTCTGGATCTGGCAGCAGTGACATAGCTTCCAGCAGAAAATGTTATTAAATGAATTAAATGAACCTGATGCTTACCACTGAAGTGATTCTGTTGTTGCTTATTGCTGTGGGGCTGCTGTACTTCTTGTTGGAAGAGAATCTATGCCAGTCTTTCCTTACCAGTTTAATACTTAAGCCGAAAATCTGCAGAGCAAGTGATCTTAGCAAAAAAGCAATAGGAAAAGCTTTTTTAATTTTTTTTTTTGTTTAAAGCAATGGACCTATTAAAATGCTCGGTAAGGGGTAGAGTTCTGATTTACTATTACTCTTTTTAACACCTATGTCCAAGTTGGTGGATGAGTATATATAAATTTATGTTTTTGTTTCCCATCCTGAATCAAGAAGATCTGAAAAATTCAGGAAACATGGTGTTCAGCATAGGACATGTTTTGAAATGGATGCTTCTACTAAGTATTGTCAAAGAGTTCGTTGCCGGGAGCTGTATCTCCAGCTTTGTTTTACCTGAAAGCTAAAGGAGATTGTGGGTTGAAGAAAACGCCGTAGCAAATTTGTCTTGCCTGGAGCAGAAGCTTTCAAACAGATCATCTGCTACTGCAAACAAGGCAACAGGCTCCGTGTGAAACTTCAATCCTGTGCCAGATGATAGACACAGGGACAGGCTCATTTTGTCTGAAAAGAAGGCCCAGGTGAGGGGAAGGAGATTGGGGGGCAGGACTGAAAAAAACTGAGGCCAAAATACTTTGGTACCAGGAGCTAAAATGGGAAGAGCTTTGCTTTTGAAAAATGTGTTGCTTATTCAAGGTTTTTTTTTTATTGGGGTATATTTAGTCCCAAAAAGGAATTAGAGGAGCCCGTGAAAGTTGTGTAACCATTTCCATTTTAATTGCCTGGTTTGAGAAGCTTAACCCTTTTTTAAGTGTGCTTTGAAAGTGACATTGTGTAAGCCTTCATTTCTGCTAGAAAACTGACTGCTTTTTGGAAGAGTGCTGGTGGAAAAGTTGTGCTATCTCTTCTTGATCACTGAGGTGGGGATTGTACCTCCTCCTTCCTATCTGGGGTGGGAAGCAGTCACACAG